CGCTGACTAACTATTGTATCAATCACCACGTTTGTACAATCGCAGAGACGTGTTTCTGTCAGTGTTCTCCTTTTCTCAACGTCGTTTTGCATTTTCAAGACAAATAGTATCGTGAATATCGATTGTGACGCCATCCGCGAGAGTTGCATGATTATGTTACGCTCTGCATTACGTTATATTATATTACACTTGTAATATTATTATATATGCATACATACATTTTAATGACGAAAGGTCATTGGATCGCCGAATCGATCTTTACTATCACGTTACGATGCCACCACCACCGTTCTGCGGTCGTAACTTTAGTTTTGAAACTACCCGTAACGCGATAACATAAACACCATGAGTACGAGATATTTCGATGCCGATAAAAGTGACGACATGGCGGCCGCTAGTCTTATTTAACTTTTATTTGGCCTTTGAATATTATTCGACGATGGCTGTTTCTGTGCAGTGTCCGAAAGAAACGAACGAAGCGAGAACGAACGAGCTGTTTAGCAGTTTTATTTAACGCACTCGACACCTCGGATGTATCTGAATTTGAAATAAAATGAAATATATTCATGCGCGCTCCAGTAAAACTCTAGTGAATATGTAGATCGGAATGGTTGCAGCCATTACAGAATCACTGACGGTTGCTGACAGTGCTGTATAGGTGTATATATATATATGTATATATATTTTTGTGCAAACTTTTATTCATATAAGTATATTACCCATGTATGTATATACGTATGTACGTACATATCAGTCCTATATATAGGATGTCCCGTAAAAATCGTAACAACGCAAGGAGAGTTCTGAGATCATTTTGAGACAAAAATTCTAATTAAAATGTCGAGGTTATAATAATGTTTTGATATCATAAATATCAGTAATTAGAAATATTAACAATTTTATTTTTGCACAATTATCTTAATATTTCGTAATCTTTATATTATCAATATTAACGTGAAACGACAATTAGTTTTTGATTTTAACACTTTACGTTGCAAATTTTAGGCTTATAATTCAAAAATTATCTTCAAATAATTTAGTATGAAAATTTTCTTCAAATGAACACAGGAATATACTTTTTAAGTATATTTTAAGTATATTTTAAGTATATTTTAAGTATATTTTAAGAATACTGTTACGCTCTTTAAGGGACACCCTGTTTGTGTATTATACATATATAAACTACATATTTACTGTGTTTGTTTGTCGGATTCATATGGATATTATATATACTAAGGGTATTCATCCGCATAACGCTTTTTTTTCGACGCATTAAACACTTCTCGCGCGCGTAACTCTTTTGAATATATAAACGGATAATTAATATTTTAACGCCTCTGACATGCTCACGGTGTTTGTAAGAAAAACTTTTTCGCATACTAGCAAATTGGAGGGGAAAAAATTTATTGTAATTAGGCACCTTCGCAGATAGCAATGCGAAGGAGAAAGTATATACTCCATTAAATATCCATAAAAAACAATTTTTATTATGTAAACACAAATGCCTGCCATATTCTGATAAATGTTCTACCGAGTTGCAGCAAACAATACATTTTCTGAAAGAGACGTAGTGTATTTTCTATCTTGACCAGTTAAGCAGCTAAAGCTTTGAACTGAGAGTACTGAGATCTGTAACGAAACAGAAAGATTTAACCGCTAGAAGAATCCTAAAACGAAATGTAGGTTCTATGTAACCGCAATGGTATTGGGAGATAAATCGATTTCATGAGCTGTATGTATATAAAGTCGCGATTATGTATGTGCTGGAAAATTTATGAGTGCCAGTAAATGTATCTAGTGGAAACCATTTACTGATATCTCTTAAAACATACATTATTAAAATATGAAATATGAAAATCTTAAAAACATAAAATATGAATTATAAAAATATAAAAATATTTTAAATAAACAGTATATATGTGTTTTTATATAGAAGTATAGAAATTTTCGTGGGAATTGAAATTGAGGAAAGTTGCTGCGAATTTTCTGGTTAACAACAAGAAAACATCGTTTATTAAAAAGACTAGACAATATAACATCTCGTTAATTAAAGTTTATAATTTCCGACGGCGAGATCACAATTGTGTTTTGCATCAACTCTAGCTTTGGATGTAAAAAACTTTCGTATCCTTTGTCATGCAATTATGCATTTTCTCTCGTTCACATGGAACAGTAAAATATATAAGACAACGTAACGTTAATTATAACCAAAGGATTATTTAACACAGTTGAAAATCCTTTCTTACACTCATAAAAGTGACTTGCAGTTATAGCGAAAATTATTTAAGTACGAAAAATAGTTAAAATAGATAAATTTCTAGCAAGTACCCGCTATATTGGATATATATTGCATCTAATCATATAGATGACAGAGAATTTATAGATTTGTGTTATAAATTCTATACGTATGATACATAATTTTCTATCAGATACAAAAAACTTTAATTCTAGCTGAAGCAACAAAATATTTTTTTATGTGTAATGAAAATATTAAGATGAGCTTTGGAATTATCCAAACTGAAAAAATTATTTTATAAATTAATTTTTAACAGAAAATTTCATGACAAGATTTTACTTTATTTTATTTTATGTATTAATAAATTTTTTTTATTCACACAAAGACATTATTTTGACCAAATTTCAATTTGAGATCTTAGCAAAATATCTAATATCAAGAATTAAAAAATTATGAAAAACGTAGAAATGTGGTAGTATCGTGGTATGCTTGTGACTTTTGTTAAGCAAAAATTGTCTTCAATTAGTCAGAGAATGCGCTTGTAAGTTTGGATTTATCGTAGAAGCATCCTGTTTATTTCGTTTTGCTTTCTATTTTCCTGCTACTATTCTCTGTCAGAGGTAATTAAAAGTATCTGGTACAGTAAGTAGATTACGTAACGTATCCACAATTCTGTTTTCCACTCTCTAGATCAGGCTACCATGTAACTTTTACGACTTCCGATCGGAAGTTTCTCGCGATTAGTCATGATTCCTGTATCGATTTTCGGCGATTACGAGATGAAAAACAGCCGAAAATCACAACGTTTAGCTTTTTGGTAGTTTCTCATTCTGATCACATACTATTATATATTTCGTTTTGCTTTCCAAATCCCAAGGGATCACTGATCGTTGAGGCTTTTTATGTACGCAAGATCAGTCACAGGGTGAAAAACGAGAACATTTATATGCCGTTCCGATCAATGATTTGAACTCGAATCTTGAGCAAACGAACACGAACAAATATAAGCACTCGCAACGTAGATGCCATTTGTACTCACTGAAGCAGCTTGTTTGTTCGTATTTGTTCGTGCTTGTTTGCTTGGTCTGGATACGGCTTGATGAGCTCCTGGACACGTGATCGGTTCTCTAACGGCAAAATAGGATATTGATTTAAGCGACATATACGAAATACGAAATAGGAAATACGAAACACGAAATATTTT